TCTTGCCTGTACACTTTTGTACAGCCCTTCTACAACAACCAATGGAAATCTCACCTTTACAGGACTTCTGTAAAGATTAAGTCCTGTGGGGCTGGGGATTTAGCTCAGCGGCAAAAGCGCCTGCCTCGCAAGCGCAAGGTCGTGAGTTCGGTTCCCGGTTCCGGAGAAAAACCAAAACCAAAAAAAAAAAAAAAAAAAAAGATTAAGTCATTCTTTTCTGGGCAGGCCATCTCCTTTCTAGCCATGAGAGACATAGGAGTTGAGCTTCTTTCCCTTCAGAGGTGAAAATGTATAGCAGTTCACCAGGACTCAGGTTAAGAGCAGTTGGTGACAATTCACTGCCCTACAAGGGAAGCCCTGCCCTACCACAAGCCCACATTTGACCAATTCTTTCAGTGTTCCATACTCAGAACCCATATAGAATGACAGTGGCCTCAAATCTGGGAAGTAGAGCATTATTCTCACATCTGGACCCCATAGTCTGTGTCCATATCAGCACTCAGTGCCTGGGACATTTCCCCTTACTCTATTTATGATCAGCTGCAATTATGAGGCTTACTTTGCTTTTCATTCCACTGTATTTTTCTGATTTTATTGGATACAGAGGGTGTCATACATATCGTTTATTTATTTGATCCATAAATACTTCAAAAAGTAGAATGTGCATAATTGAAACAGCTCCTGACTTCAAGACACTTGTAAATTAAGAGAACCCATCACAGTGTCCAGAACCTCTGACACAGGAAGCATGACACAATGTTTTGTTTTGTTTTGTTTTTTGTTTTTTTTTTCTCCAGTACCGGGAACCGAACTCACGACCTTGCACTTGCCAGGCAGGCGCTTTGCCGCTGAGCTAAATCCCCAGCCCCAGCATGACACAATGGACACCTGGGCAGATTGATGCTTACTTGAATTTGGGAAACTGGGAATTATTTCATTAAAGAAAGTAACATTTGAGCTGAGTTTAACAGGATAAATAGAAATTTCAGAAATGGGTGAGAGGCAGGATAGTCAGAGGAAATGTTAGTCTTAGTCTTCTCAAACTGCTTTAACAAAAATATGAACAAAATGGCTTATAAATAACAAGAATTTTTTTTTTTGTTTCTTGAAGTTCTAGAGACTGAGAAGTCTAAGGTCAAGGAGTGGCAGATTTGATGTCTAGGAGGGTTCATTTCCTCCTGCTTCACAGATGATGCCTTCCCACTATGTCTTCACATGGTGGAAGGGGCAAAGTAGCTCTCCCTTATAGAGACACTAATTCTATACATAGTAGTTCCACTCTTATAAACTAATCACCCCCCTAAAGGCCCATCATCACAGTCTGTTGAGTTACTTTGATCTTGAGCCTGTCATTCAAACTATGAGCTGCCTCTTTCATCCCTGGTCCTGCATGTTTGATAAGCATCTTCAGTTATGTTTTTCTAACTTGACTATAAAAATGCGTGAAAAGTATGGTCCTAGTATACCTCTAATATTGACCTTCTTCTAGGTTAATGATTATTCAAAACTTTTTGGGTATGCTACTACATAATTCCCATGTATAATTTGTCTAGTAGATATTCTTGATTACTTGCCATATAGTCAACACATATGATTTATATTATTTGTCTTATTTAAAATGTTTACTGTGTGGGATGAGGATATCAATACTTCCTGTGAGTAATTCCAATGATTTTTCTGTCCTAGGCACTTGAATCACCATCTGTCTCTTGAAGGTTGATTGAAAACCAAACAAAGTATGAATTTTAGCAAATAGATCCTTTATAAAAAATTCAAGCAAATGTAACTTCCATAATATCTATCTAATTAATATAAAAAGTTGTAGAATTCACAAGATCAATTGGAGACTTTATTTTTGCTTGCATCTGAGATAAAATGAAACATTTTAAATATGTACAAGAGAATAATGAAGTAGATTTTTAACTTAGCCAAGAGCTCTAATTTTCTAACTTCTTTTCTGAAAAATTTAAAATAATTTAGTGTGCCAGCATGAACCCTTGGTCGCCTAGGCAATAGAACAGGTTTCCATGGAAATACATGGGTCTGTATCAAAGAAATACCTTAACTTTAATGGTATAAAAGAACATCATGTAAGGAATACTGATGCTTATTGCTAACTCAAACTCTCGGTAATGATGGTCAGTCATTCATGCTACTATTTGTTAAATATTGGTGATTTTCAGCAGGAAAGCAACTTTAAAACTCCAAATTACATTATAGTAGGTAATATTCTGTTTCCTTTTCTTCATGCACTACTGGCCTTTAATCCCATGTGTATTTTGACCTTTATTGTAGAAAAATAAAAGATGTGCATTTCCTAATTACATCATACTTCAAATTAAGTTTGATATACTGAGTTATAAAACTTAATTATGCACCCCAGCCACACAGGCACCTGGGAGGCAGGCTGCCTGCACCCGGGAAGCTGCGTGGCAGGGAGCTCCTGCCTTTGGGCTGAACCCCAGCCATGCAGGTGCCTGGGAGGTGGGCAGCTGGTGTCCGGGAAGCTGTGTGCCAGCCATCAGGCCAGCCACCAGCCCACAGTCAAGAACTATCACGGCCCAGGGAAGCAATGACACAGTTAACCTGCCACACACTGGCCGCGGAGGCCCATCTGGGGACGTGTGTGAATCATCCCAACATGGAGAAACCCCTGGGAATACATGCCACACAATGCGCTGCTCTTGCCCCTGCTGTTGAGAACCAGAAAGGTCCAGAGTCAGCGGAGGAGCAGCTGCTGAACAAGGACTCAGAGAACACGAGAATACAGACTACGCCCAAAGACTCAGAGGTCTAGTTTACCAGAGTCACCAGAGCCATTTGGAAGCTGGAAACCAGGAGGACCTTGCACAATACCTGGGGGACCCCCTGGAAACCATTCTTCCCCTCTCAGTACAGGCTGCAGTGGAGGAGTGTGTGGAGCTCTGGAGAGGTCTGCACCAAGAGTCCTGCTGCCTGTGCTGACGGTTGGGGAGAGGACACTAAGTGGTTGCAGGGTTCCGATGCACTGGGAGGCTGGAGAAAAAAAGCTACAAAAAATGGCTTTTGCCCCAGATGACTCACTTGAGATGTTAGTAAGGATTGCCTCCTCAGTATTCTATAGCCATGACAAGGAGGAGGCCAAG